GCTTTTTTTTACAAAGTCGTACCTCCAGGCAGATGGAAATAACAACGGTGGATCACGTCAACAGAACTTCGGCGGGATAAAGAATTAAGCTCAGTCTTTGGGTGAATAAAGAAATTTCTAAAGAAAAAGTTTTCCCTGTGCCTAAGCATTCGACATTGTCTGGGAACTACGAGAAGCTTCATCGTCATTACTTTTGTACTTTGCTTTATACGAGGGTCGCTCATTAAGTAATGCCCCACATTTTTTTTCTCAGCCAATAATGAAGATAGAAAAGTGTACTTTTACATGCTTGAGATTTGATGTTTCCCGCGTTCGTGTACGGAGTTTCAAATGATTCCAACCGATAGCGGAGCTGTAGTGAACTGTTAAAATGGCGTCTGTGAACGACTCTCGTTACAAACAACGAGCTGTAATTGAATTCTTTGTTGCTGAAAAAGAAACGGTGGTGAACATTCATAAACGTTTGTGTGCTGTGTATGGAAGCTGTGCAGTCGATAGGAGCACCGTTGGTCGCTGGGCTAAGAGAGTTAAAGCTTCAGGAAGTGAAGAAACCGAGCTCCGTGATCTGCCGCGCTCTGGGCGTCCTGCCACAGCCACCACTCCAGACATGTTGAACCGCGCGGATGCCATTATTCGTGAGGATCGGCGCATCACAACTCGACAATTGGCCCAACAGCTTTCAGTCAGCAATGGAAGTGTGATTGCAATTATCCGGGCTCTTGCATATTCGAAGGTGTGCGCAAGATGGGTTCCACGAAGTCTCACAGCAGACCACAGGATTCAAAGGAAAACGATTTCTTCTGAATTGTTGGAGCGTTTTGATGCTGAGGGAGAGGTCTTTCTGTCCCGGATCATTACAGGTGACGAAACCTGGATACACCACTTTGAGCCAGAGACAAAAAGGCAGTCAATGGAGTGGCATCATCCTCAATCACCGAGAAAGAAGAAATTCAAGACAACTCCCTCCGCCGGAAAAGTCATGATGACTGTCTTTTGGGACAGTGATGGGGTCATTCTTGTGGATGTGATGCCAAGAGGTGCGACCATCAATTCAGACGCGTACATCAGGACCCTGAAAACCCTCAAGAAGCGTTTTCGACGAGTTCGGCCTCACAAGCATCCAGCAGAAATTTTGCTCCTGCACGACAATGCACGCCCTCACACAAGTCTGAGAACCCGGGAAGAAATCACCAAATTGGGTTGGACGGTGCTACCCCATCCACCCTACAGTCCAGATCTGGCACCCTCCGACTTCCATCTCTTTGGGCCCCTTAAAGATGCTATCCGCGGAACAAGATTTGAAGATGACGAGAGCGTGATTCAAGCAGTGAGGACATGGCTACGGGGACAGGACAAGAGCTGGTACCGGCAAGGCATGCATGCCCTTGTTCCACGCTGGCGTAAAACCGTACAAGTTGATGGGGACTATGTGGAAAAATAGTATGTGTAAAGGAAACATTGATTTATATTGTCACTAAATTTGAGCCATCTTGAATAAATATGTTCTGAGGAAAAAAATGTGGGGCATTACTTAATGAGCGACCCTCGTAATAGTGGGAAAGTCCAAGAAAATCAAGAGGAACTCGTACAGACTGATACACGTCAACAACTGGTCTTTGCTAAATGCTTTAACTGAATGAATCAAAATATAAATACCAATATATTGATGACTAACTACCGAATTATGGCATAAGTGGAAATAGTATCTGACGAACACAAAGCGAAGCGTTATGATAAAATCAGTGGCAAATCCTGGTCTGAAAGTCAAGCTATGCGAAAATGATACATTATTAAATCCTCCAACAATCTCACCATAGTTTGTTGTTGTTGTTGTTGTTGTTACTACTACTACTACTACGTTGCTGTTATTATATATTGTGATTTAATAGCACAGTTCTTTCAACAGAAGCAAACACAACAATCTTATACAAATACCTGTCCAGATAAAAATGAGTACTGAAAAATATTTATTTATTATTATTTAGTGTTCTGTCTGACGACAGGTCCATATGAACAGGATCCTTCCATCCTTTTCTCGGACTGGGACCTGTTCATATACGTTCTTGGCAGATGATCCAGAAGTGGTTTGCCATTGCCTTCTTCTGTGTGTGAATGGAGTAATTGTTGGGAAGCCCCCGGAGGAAAACTCCGTGTTGCCTAGACCACGGCCTTGCCCAACACAAGTTATAAATTTGGGCACCGCCGGGAATCGAACCCGAGACCCCAGGATTACAAAGCCAGCGTTCTAACCGCTAGACCACCGTGGCTAGTTACTGAAAAATATACCTGATATTTATTCTATACTCCTTTCTACCAGCGTCATTTTTCGATGGCCTGAACACAGAAGTTATGCTTCTTGGAACCTGCAACTAAGGCGTTCTCCATTGACAGGAGGGAAATGACTCAGTTTCTCTTGACCTTGATTCTTTTGAGGGCTTAGAAGCTTTGTTCGACCAAGCCATGGTAGATGGGATGAGGATACTAAACTAGTTACTTTATAAGTTTGTTCAAAAGTTGTAGTCATGATTTCCTTTGAAGTTTTCCGACCCACAAAGCACAGTTACTTCATTACGGCAACTACATTCAAATGTCCAGGACACTATTTCCGGTACAGAAAATACGAGCCTGCTGCCGTCTTTTAGGTACTTTAACGAAGAAGCCTAGCAACTGACATTATTGTGAGCGAATCAAGATGAATGAGAGAGGAAACCCTCGTGGCCTAGTTTGAAGTCCTTTGTTCGCAGGTTGGCAAAACTCGAGGTCAAAGCCAGAAAGTCAACATGTGCAACATTTCACTGTATGTCTGAAGAAACGCATAACAGTGGTTGTTGACGCAAACCATAATGATCATCAGATCTTAACACCTCATTGTTCACCTCACGATTTTCCTCATCCGTAATTTTATCACTGCTCGTAGGATATTTAAGATTTTGTGGTCGTGCAGAATGGCACAACCTCCACATCAAATTTCATCCAAATCCGTCCAATGGTCCTCGAGTTGAATCAGCTGGACAGACGGACATACACGGCCAACCCATAATGCGTTCTCACTATGCAATTCGCACAAAGAATGCATAATAAAAAGCAATAACGACATCCAAGGTCACTGTTGCAACACACTGATGATGTCACCACGCATGGACAAACAATTATGGTAATGGCGTCGTCTTGATCCCACTTCGCGATTTGTCCCAGTAATATGTTCTTCGTTTAAGCTAAAGCGTAAAGCACATCTGAAAATATACGTCCCGGAAGAAAACGGGGCCATTATACTTCTGCTTCTACTACCACCAAGGTTCCCGGTCAATTTCTCCAGGAACTTAAGATTCCTAAAACTCAGAACCCCAGACCGAGATTCGAACAGGAGACTTTTGGTGACAGACGTGAAATAGTACGCTGCAGCTTGGTTCGATATGCTATCTCAGAAATGGCCGAGAGGAAGATATCAAAACACAGTCACGATAGGACGTCGATTTCGAGCCTTGTTTTTTATAATCAATTGTTATTCTGTAACAGTTCTTTCCACATGATGCTAAGCGTGACTTCACTTGTAAATCTTTTCTAGAAGACAGTTACTTTCTCTCATAAAAGCAGCTTCTGCGTCTGGCAGAGGTGCAGAGGTGAAAACGTGTGTCATTCTGAGTCAGTACGAATATGGCTCAACGGTCTCCCACAAACACGCGACCATGAATGCATTTGGCTTGGATCACTGACAAGAGTGAGAGAGCAGAAGAAATTCGAGATACTTTCCTACGCATTCCCACTATGCGAATATGAATAGCAGATGGTCGTTCTATCTTGCTTATTTTTCGAGCTACAGGAAGCATACTCACCAAGACTCAAACTCAGGACAATTCTTTGCAGTTCTGGTCTTTCTAAAATCTCTTTCTGGTAACAAGGCATAAATATGCCAAACTTAGTGCAAATTGGCGTAACCGTTATCGCGTTATAAGCGCGCGCGAGCACACACACACACGCACAGAGCTTTAAATTTTGGACATTTTTCATTCGCCACGAAAACCTGCATTCGAATCATGCATATTTTGCGGTTTATTTGATGAAACTACATCGCGTCGACTGCAGTCTTAAGGAACACTTTTTACACAGCGAACGATTTAAATTTTCTCTTTGCAGTGTCCGTGCGTTTAAGTCCCGTCGTTCTAGTACCATTTTGTGTTACATTTGAAACAGATGACTAACAACGTAATTCATCAAGTATTTACAAGCGGCGGGGAAAGTTAAATTTTTAGGTGAATACGTGAACTCCGTCGTTCGCAAAGTATGAAGTGCTTTACTGAATAGATTTTCACAAAATTTAATGGTTATCCCTAGTATAATTCAATACACAAAATTACTCTTCGTAAAATATCGATTAAGACACGAAAATACCTAATAACACCTCCAAACATCCGAAGCCAAATTGATTTAAACAAAGTTGAAGTTGATGACTTCTCTTGGATGCTGGCACAGTTTGTAAATTGATTGCGTTGTCGACATTTCAGAGGACACACTGCCTTTATCATCAGGGCTTCAGCTCTGAAGCGGTATTAAAAATCAGGACTAATAATGAATCACCGTAAACGCTTAAATTCAGTTATAATGTTGAAGAGTTACTAAATGATTTGGTGATTTCATATTTAAATAAGAATTCTACTAGCATGCGAGAAGTGATTGTTGATAATGATTACATTAGGTTGAATAACACATTCTCTAAACCATCTCCTTGTACGAAGATGTTCAGAAAACGGGAATTTTACTTCGGCATACAAATTCTGTCATTCTTCCTGTCTTTTATTATTCTGAACTATTCCTGGTTCTCAGAATGGCCGAAAAGCTGACATAATACGCACTTAAATTATGTTTTGACAATTAATGTATCTCAATAAAAATACAATTCATAAAGTAAATGGAAATGCATCAGGGTGAACACATCTTCGTTATATTTGTCATAGCTCGAACTCTCTCATCCCTCAACGAAACAGTTAACGAAATTGTCCTACCTTGAGCTTCTTCGGAATTCAAAACGCAATGACGAGTAAAGTAATCGTGAAACGGTACAACACGAATGATTTCATAAAATTGTGCACCATACACCTTCAACACACAGAGAATCCTAACCAACTAAACCTGTTGTTGAAACCGGCCGCGCTGACGTGTAATTCACAATCGATTTCAACCAGCGAGATTCATATCGATAATTGTTGATTGTATTCAAGCGCTCAAGAACTATAAATATTGTGCAAAGCCAATGCCACAAATGTTTCCTTCCTCCGATACATTTCCAAACGTTTTCGAAAATAATACACAATTGATATAAGTGTTAACATTCGTTTTGTAGTAAGAACAGCCTACAGAAAACACTCTAGAGCCATCTGCAGTTAGAATTCATAAACATTTCCGCCCGATTGCGATAGCTCACTTTCGACTTGCTCACCCGCACAACTTCAAAGTGGCAATCTATTTAAAATCCGTTTATACCGATGAAGCTAATACCTCGCTGTTTCAGACCACTTTACAGATCATGGAACTGTCTTGATTCTTTTAACCATGCTTAACAACTTGTGCCTATACTCAGAAGAACAAAATCCTTTTGCATTTGATAAGAATTTAAATTCATTTATATACAAGCATACCTCGGAGATATTACGGGTTAGGTTCCAGACCACCACACGAATTTTTGCTTTCCCAGTGCACATAAAAGTTATGTTTACACTATACTGTAGTCTATTAAGTGTGCAATAGCATTATGTCTAAAAAAAAAACAATGTACATACCTTAATTGAAAAATACTTTATTGCTAAAAAATGTGACACAGAGACGAAGTGAGAACATGCTGTTGGAAAAATGGCGCCGATAGACTTGCTAGACGCAGAGTTGCCACAAACCTTCAATTTGTAAAAAACGCAATATCTGATTATCCATCCTCTGTGCAACAAAAATCAAGCACTTACAACTTTCTAAGTCCAAAACCAGAAGTGGTGTAAGTATACCTGGCATCATAATTCCAATCATTAGTAATCTCCCGGTATTTATCCAGACGTGATTTTTCTGTACCTTCCATTAATTACAAATACGTATCTAAGGGGCCGTCACAGTGGCCGCACGGTCTGAGGCGTGAGCCTTGTGCCGCTTGAACACTGTGATCATGGGTTCGAATCCCACTCAAGACATGGATGTTTATCCAAGTCTCTATGTGTTGTGCTGTCCTGTGTACAGGTAGAGGCTTTGCATGTTGGGACCTGCAGGTGCTCAAGGCACTGAGGAACGAGTCGCCTAAGTAAGTAAGTATGTATCCAAGACATGTATTTATAACGAAAGGAGTGATAATGGCCCAGCTAAAGGAAGGCATAAGCACATGATATCAATGCAATGTTTTATGTCCAAATATATTTTACATTAAAGCACATGCACACACACATTACCTTTAAAACTCAATTTATATCTAAAGAACCGATTTTGTATTTACTTTGTGGAATTTCTTTAAACAAATAGAAAAACTCAAATTACTACACTCTGTTAGCAGGAAAGTTCCATCTGTAATACACAACAAACTTTTCTACATAGTGTAACTGTGTCAGTAAATATAACATGTAATAAAATTGTTAAGAGAAATGAAGGTGTCCAGAATTTATACATCAAAAAGTTAACAATGTGTCAATGAAGAATATATTTCTTACATTCAGTAATACTGCCATGGCAAATTCCTCCAAATACAATCCACAAATTTAAAATAAACTCAACACAGCTTTATGGTAAAGCCCAAACACGAACATAATCCACTTGCATATCAGAGCCTTCCTGCCATGAGGGATACCATTCATCTTTTCTTTCCCAGAAATCCAGTGTTGCCTATTGAATTAAAACAGAATAACAGATGAAATAAATTGCTGATTAATTTACATGCTTGAAGTATTTGCTTCTAAATATGAACTTACAGTCGGTGAAGTGTTGTTCCATGGCTTTGGAAAAGGCTTGTAATCAGCACTGTCTAGAAAGAAATCTGATAGTCCACCAACAGCAAGAGATATTACCAGATAGAACTGCAAAAGATAATGTTTATTTTAATAATTGACATTTCATTCACCAAAGAGCTTGATTGTTAGTGCAAGAAATGAGATTTCACCTGAATGTTAAAAATTTAATATCAATACAATGTCTGCATATGTAAATGTACTGTCCCTGATGGGGTTAAAACTTGTAGAAAATATTTCATGAATGTAATTATCTCTGAATAAAATTGTGCATATGGTTTATCATTATCAGTTTTATTAAACACATACAAGATTGATAAAGTTGTGAAAAATTTTAAAAGAATATTTTGTAACATTTCTCACTCACCTGTTGGTCAAATGGTGCCATCCTTGATCCAGAGTGATATATATTGTCTGCAAAATCCTTACTGAAACCTCCAGCCATCCAGAATCCTCCATCAAGAGGAGGTATGATGTTCAGTACTGATTTCTCATCAACAGAAAACTTTATGTGCTCTATTGACAATGAAAGATGTTTGGTTTAGTGATGTCTAAACAAGAAACTCAGTCTTCCAAGTTGATAAATGTATGACTTTAATATAATATTTTGCCAGAATAAAAATACCTGCATACCAAATATTTAAGTTATTTACCTGGTGTCCATTCCAGCTCATATTCATGGAAATCATTGTCCCAGCCTTTTTCTTCCTTGGAGTTTATGTGCTGTTTTATAAATCCTCCTATTCCAGGGCCAAAGTGGAGAGCCATTTCCATGCGCTGTGTCCCCATTGGCTCACCATCCACTAAATACATAGCATTACCACGACTCTGTGCAATGGTCATCTGACCTGAGTTTGGCCATGGGCCATACGCACTTCGATGTGGAAGCAGGTAGATTGCTGATTGTATAAAACAATGAGAAAGATATATTTTTACAGCAGTGGTTCCAAAACCCTTTAGTATTACAGAAAATGTTTCAGCAAGCTTGACTGAAAAATATATAATGGCAGATATTTTGTGTGCCCATAACATTTCAATACAAATTTTTAAAAAATGAAAGTGTAGGGTGTTAGTATTGTGTAGTATGTTTCCATTAGAGATGAGTGATCCAGTGAATTCTGAATCACCACAATTCCAGTTAACTTTATTTGTTGGTAATGATGAATTTAAGTAGTGACCTTCATCACTGGTACCATTAGGCTACCGGCTAACTGTACAGCCCTACATGCTAGAAAGAACAGCGTTGGTAACAGAAGATTATAAAAGTGGTGAGACACACATCTGTTACTTGTATTTATCAGAACTGCCTTAAGTGAAAAAAATCAGATTATGCTGGCTATTACCAAGAAAGTTAGAGTGGATTTGGAAACTTGTATGAATGGGAAGAAGTATCACAGTCTTCTTGAGAAGAACATTACACCACTCATCCCAAGGTCCCGCGCTGTAGCCGCGCGGTCTGAGGCATCATGCTTCAGATCGGTGATACAGAATGCGCGCTGGTTCGAGTCTCAGGGGAGAAGAAATTTTCTCATGAGCTTTCAATCAGTGTATGGGACCGGTGCCAACCCAGCATCGTGAGGAAATTGGGGAGCTACAATGAGTAGCGTAATCCGGTCAGGAAAGCTAGCAATGCCTGGGGGTTCGTCATGCTGACCACATGTCACCCTATATCTGGTTGGATGATCGTTCACCTCTGCTTAGGCATGTGAACGTGAGGCCAGCAGTCAAGCTAGTCGGCTTTGGCTCTCTGGAGCTGCTACGCCACGGATTTAATTTAATTTTAATTTTAAATCATCCCAAGAGAGATATTTGTAGCTAATTTTAGGGCTTGACTGGTCATGATTACCTACAGAAGCACCTTCATAGAATTGGACTTTCAAATAGAACAGACATGCCCTATCTGTGAAGAAGGCATTATGGATGCTTATCATTTGGCAACATGTGGGGGCTTGGGAGAGAGAATAGACCCGCTAAACTATACAGAAGGCCAAAAGGCAACTTAAAACCAGCATTGGATTAAAAAAAAGAACTGCCTTTTCTCCATATATTTTTGCCATAGTTTTCCTTATACAAGTATTTTTATATGAGAATGACAATGATGAAGAAGAAATTGAGACTGCAAACTGCAGATTCATCATGTTTGATGCTTGTGGGTATACAGCTTCCCAAAAAAGTGCTGCTTAAGATACTACTTTTCAATTACAATTACGGTCTAACCTAACTTTATGGCCTTGATAGACATCCTCTATTCAAATATGCTGTTAATGAAATAATTGCCCATGTTAGGATACACAGCTGAAAAATAGAGGATGACATGCATGAACTGGGTGAGTTAATGCTTGAAAGGCAGTTTTCAGATCATTAAACCTTTATAACTGAAATCACCTAACCTAACATGTTCTTTCTAAGGGGTCTCACCAATCAATTTTGCCCAGGGCCTCACAATTGGCTCTGTCACCATTGCCTGGCAGTGATTCAAATAACTTCAATGCCTAACTGGTTACTAGCTACTTGGCTCTGTAATGCAACTACTCTAAACAGTCTGTCTAGATAAGCAGGGCAAGTAAGTGACAACTGCAGTCACAACTAAATCAGATACTGAGTAACTGGTGGATTTTGAACAGCAATAGTTAAATAACCACTATGAGTATAATGCTTATCTGAAATTTCCATTGTATAGTTAAGCTGTGTACATATACAAACTTATTTGCTGCTAGCTTTAAAAATAACATTATTCATGCAAAGATTAACTGAGTGTGATGAGCCATTTCATTTATATGTATCTAGATGAAGAGAAGGGAGCTACAAGTGAAAAGAGAACCCACAGACTGTGGTCTTCTGGTTTGTGGTGCCATGTAATGTCTTACATGGTTACCAATGTTTCAGAGAAACATGCTGCATCCATATTCTGTGTACAAACAAATGCTGCATGTTCCTTTTAAATGCTGGCAACCAGGAACTATCTTTACAACACAGTGTCACAACCTAGAAGACTACAATGTAAAAGCATAGTGAAATCTCAAATTTTGGAAGAAACATAATTTATATGGAGATTCACATGGGTGGGGTTGGTGCAATTTTAAAGTTTGAAAATGATTGCCTTACAGGGTCCAACCAATTTCTTAATCAGCAAATACAGGACTTACCTGGCCACAGCCAATCTCCCCGTGGCATCTTTGCTCTCATCTTCACTATGCCATACTGAAAGGTGAAAGAGCCTGATGTCTGCAGCTGTGCTGACATAACAGGGTTCAAAATCTGTGCCCCTAGAGCTTGCTTGTAACAACCATTGTTAGCGGGATTGGTGCACCTTGAATTACATATCACGGGCATTAGAAAGTCTGCAGACTGCCTTCACTGTCATCCATAGTTATGTCTTTTAATTTAAGAAGTAAGAGTAATTTTGCATGTTTATTAATTATTTGCAAGTGAGATAAATTAGAGTAATTAAAAATGCATAGGTTGGGAAGGATGAGGTGTGAATTGTTAGTGAGCTTCATGGTATTACAATATTTGTCTAAATATGTTTGAGGGTGTGGAGACTATGATCTCTGGTCATTGATTTGAACCAGGTACATTGTAACCACAATGCAAGTGGAAGTAGGCACAAGTAATTACGAGGCGCGTCCACAAAGTAAGTTTCCCACTCGTCCCACAGCTAGCAAACCTTATATTGCGCGAAGCGACTGTGCGTACGTGATAGAGTAATGACGTAGAATGGCGCATGCACTAACGGCACTTCCCGCGTTCTCACAGTAGCATCGTTGCAGCTGTTGAAGATGGAGGTTCTTATTCCAGCTCCCACCGACTGTGAAGTGCGGTCAGTGATAACGCTAGGCCGCACACGGCTCGACGGACAGCAAGTCTCCTGCAGGAGTTCAGCTGGGAGGTGTTTAATCATTCACCCTACAGCCCGGACCTCGCTCCCAGTGATTTCCATCTTTTCCTACACCTCAAGAAATTCCTGTCCGGTCAGCGTCAGCGTCAGCGTTTTGAGAATGAAAGAGAGGCGGAGATGGTTGTCACACAGTGGTTCCAATCCCAGGCGGCAGACTTCTACGACACAGGTATTCAAAAGTTGGTCCCACGGTATGACAAATGTCTCAAATCCGGTGGCGAATATGTTGAAAAATAGCTAGACACTTGCTGTATCTGTTGCAATAAATATTTACATGAAATTGTGTTTTGTTTCTGTAAACGGCCCCAGGGAAACTTACTTTAAGGACGAGCCTCGTACTTCAGAGTTCCTGTCTACAAATAAACTTATATTTACTACAGAAGAGAAGCTGTGTCCAAATTATGCTTCTACCTACTCATACTTAAGTATTTCCTAGCATTTTCAAGTTCAGAATCGAAAAAAATTTGATATTATTGAACTATTTGATAAACCAGCGAAGTGTACATTTGGAACTGAGTATGAATACACAATGTACTTACAACATCTTGAAAGGTAAATGTTTACTATTATAAAAAGCATCATGCTTATCTTATTATCATAATGATGGATTATACTAGACAGATAGAAAGCAACAGCAAACAGCTGATGACAATCAGTATGCATACTGGTATATATGATATGATTAGCTTGTCTTGTCATCTTACACAGAAACATTATATGGTACTCTTATACAAGTGAATGAACTACACTGTCATTTGTGCTTTCATAACAAGTTATATCAGCACTCCTGGAGTATGCCATTCTCATATCTTTGGGTAATTGCATGACCATTCAGGAATATTTATTTAACAAAACAACCTGAGGGGCTAAAATTACTTTGCCATAAATTTCATATTATTAAACTGAGCCTCTCATTAGACTGGAAAGTGACTTCCTGAATGTCAGATCAACTTAATTCAAACATGTACTGCACTACCATTGGAAGTCCAACTCTAATTTAATCTGTTTGAATTTTGGATTAAAGCACTTATTCCATCACTGAACTGGAATGTGATTTCCCAAACCTTGGCAGAGGTCCTGAAAACGTTAACACAATTTTGTAACTGAAACTGAAGGCCCTGTATATGATAATATAGCAAAAATACTGTCAGTCCTAAGATACAGCTTAAAAATAAAGAATGAATCTTTATTATGTTTTGCAACTTAATTTATTGTTTAGAGAATACATGGACATCACAAACTGAGAAATCTTTGTGGAAACAGAGCACACTTCTCATAATGAAGAATGGCTTTACCACACAACAGAGAACCACATGACACCGTCCTTCAGCACATCAAGTGCATTACTTAAAATAATGCTTTGATAGTGCAGAACCAGTAAGTGACATATTGAAATATTATAGAATTAATCTAATAAATGTAATATATTACACATTTCTTTTAAATGGACTGAAGTAAAATGTGACTTGATATTTGTTTCTTTGGTTATTTAATAATTCTCTCAATTGAAGACATTATATAATGCCAATTATTAAATACGAGGATAATTATGAATGGTGAAATGGGCTGATGTGAAAAGAAGCAATCATGCTCAGTTTGAAGGTATTCTAAAAGTATTTACTTGGGGGGGACTGTAAAACTCAGTTGGGATAGCTGGTCTTATGTCAAAATTAAGAAACAGGAACATCTTGGATAAGAAGTGGAAGTGATATCCAGAACATATTGCCTCAGCATTAGCAGTCAATTCATTTTAATACATGACCACAACCTTAGTGAATGGAAGTATTTTGAGATATATGCCATACACTGACATAAAGGTATCTAATTTTCACAACCCTTTTATCTTCTAGGAAAAACAACTCAGATTTTATCAGAATGTGTGGCATAATGTTAATTAGCAAGGATTCATTTATGAGACTACATTATTCATATTACTTACTCTTCTCCAGAAAGAGCACTGCCTCTCAGATCCAGTATGCCATTGTATAAAACTTCTTCACCCAGTACATCTCTTGTGAGGGTGGCTCGTAAATGTAATTTTCCTCCTCTGACAAAACTGTTTGACCGGTTGTTTACAAATACTTGAAATTCATTGTGCTGTTTCGTAAAGAAATGATGTTAATAAGATAAACAACTACAGTCTGTGTCTGAAGAAAGCCACATTTTACAAAATTGGTTGCAAGTCCTCTGTTCAAAAATGCTTAATCACAATTTTCGATTATTCTCATCTGTAGGTCATTCCTATATAATTTGAGGCACTGAAAGCAACATTAAATATGACATAAATAAAGAATCAGACATATATAATTATGATCTTCATAGTTTGTGCTCTTCACCATTATCATCACAGTTTCTTCTGTTATCAAAGGTTTCTTCTTTGCCTGGTACTTATCTTCTTGAACTAACAGTGAGGCCCACCTCTTAGGCTTCAAGTTCCAGATTGTAGCACTTTCCTTATTACCTGTAAGTGTAATGTTCTTAGTATAGCTGGTTTTTTTGTAGAAAACATATTGAATGCTTTCCTGATACTGTTTCCAGACACTTTAAGGTCCTTTAGTTACAATTACTGTGGCCTCAATTCTTACCTGTATGACAAGGCATTTCATATTCAACATTCATTGAATATCTACACTCAGATTTTTGTATTTTAATTTATTTTAGGTCTCCTTCTGTATTTTATTCCAATTTGATTCCGATGTTACATCTGTCAGTAAAAAAAATATCTTTTCTAGTTTTTAATTATTACATCTCACCTACTTGCCAGAGCCTGTCTGTCTCTTTTAACCCCTTTATCCCATAATATTGTTATATCTTCACGTCCACATTCTGACTTAGGTATGTGAGAGAGCCAGTTTTCTATTGTTTCAGTGCCTAATGTATTGCTTATTGAGTATGAGGTGTCACAATTAAGTTACCCGAATGTTCGCATATGTCACATTGAGTAACAAGTGAGCAATAACTAAGCAGCGGTGTGTTACGTGTCTATGGTTGCTTCTAGTGTGTTGGTGAAGCAAACAAGGCAGGAGTAGCGCAGTTACACAAATGTGTGTTTTCGTCCCAGTGGAAAAAAAGAATGATAGGCTGCTGGAGTAACGCATTCACATCAAGTTTTGTGTAAAATTAGGCAAAAGCGCGAGTGATACTCTACATACATTAACAAAGGATTATGGTGCTGATGTTATGAAAAAATTAGTGTCTTTGAGAGACATAAAAAGGTTTTAATAGGGTCAGGAAGACATGAAAGACGATGAAAGAACTGAATGTCTGAAAACACACCGGACAGATGGAAAAGCGCAGAAAGTGCAGTCAAACAGTGAACCAGCATTGTTGTTTGGCAATAATGGCAAGGTTATGGGAGACTTCGTTGGAGAAGACATAAACTTTGGTCTGATAATTGGATCTTGCATCATGACAATGCCCTTGCTCATGACGCGCTCAGTGTCTGGGAGTTTTTGGCCAAAGCATCGGTATTGAAAGTGGACCATCCACCATGTTCGATAGATGTGGCCCGTTCGCCTTTTGGGTATTCCCAAAATTGAAGATCGCTTTGAAGGGCCACAGACATTGCCAACATTCAGGGACATGCGACAACCATCCTGAAGGGCATTCCAGAAGAGGAGTTCCAGTAATGTTTTGAAACACCGACTCACTAAGTATATTGGTGTACAAAGATATTGCTGAGGTGACAGCAACCATTAGTGTGTAAGTAATTAAATACAGCTTTTACGGAGGAATTCCGGGAACTTAATTGACATACCTCACAATGTGCAGATTTTCTAATTATGAGTTCATTTTTTGCCAAAATGGGATATCCTGATGTTATGATAGTGATGAATTTTAGGTTCCATAACAGCAACCAATTTCTGGAGCCACCATATAACTACCTTTAACTGGTGTTTTGTGTGCATGTGAAACTCCAGATTATTACTGGTTGAGAACAGAATACTGAGACACAAAAACTGAAGGGAAAAAGCCACCTGGAGGAACTATGTATAGTTAGGAGGATAAATATTAAAATTGTTCTTAAAGAAATAGGATGAGAGAGTGTGGAATGAATTATTCTGGCTCAGGATATGGACCACTTGTGAATACAGTAATGAATTTTCAGAAATGAACAGTCGAGTGCCTACTAACTTCTCAATATGGACTTAAGGAATAATCTTTACCCTGTAATTAACAACAACAAAAACAATAATATTCCATTAGTTCTTGGTATGAATAGCTCAAGTCAAATGCAGTCTGTACCAACTTACACCCGTCTTAATAAGAACCAGAATGATGGAAGGTATTTCTTGTAAATTGTATCTCAAGCCTACCAGTCAAATCCATTTGTAATAACAGGACCAGTAAGCATGGAATGGAGTTGGCAACTGACTCTTCTAATCTCCACAGTTAACATAATGTGGTTTTAGAGTAAACATGAAGGATTATGAAGCAGTAATGACTCATCAGCTGAAACAGCTATGGAATATGCTACAAGACTAACTCTCGAACACCTGCATACAGAGATTTAATAGAAATGTTACATAATGGTGAAGAAACTTCCACTAAACCACCCTTGAAACTAACAGGACTGTCATTCCAAAGAAAAGTACATATTGATTAATGATATTTTCATTGACACAAACTGTTTTATCAAGGTAGAAATATTTCAGATACATAAATAACAAAACTCAATAAAAATACTTACATGTTCTTGTATACCCTATAACTGCATCTTGTAATCCTGTGTGTAAAGCTATGCACATCTGGGTTCTTAGTAAGCCAGATGAGTCATGACACATAAGCCTTTGATAAAGTCCCACCTGGGTCTATCCTTCCTAATGCTCCTGTGTATTTCCTTATTTTCTCAATCAAAAAATTATCTAGACTGAAGACCCATTATTATGATGCACATAATAGCACAGTACTGGACCCTCTGCAAATTCAGTTCAGTTCCTTACAAACTGTTTAGAATCTATGAAGTTGACTTACAAATACTCTTATTTATGTTCAGTCCAGAAGATAAGGGAGATGGACCCAAATCAACAAATCACAAAAATTTACTTAATAGACTTTTTCCATTCTTAATTTATTGCCACAAAAGACCCAAAATCTTCAAATGTCTCAAACAAAAGAACACAACTGTACACAAATAAAACACATATAAAAACAGGTACTACCCTTCCACCGGAAGCTGATACTTCATGATGCCATCTTTCCAGATCAAAAACATCAAAGTCATCTTCAAACAGTAACTGTCCAGAACATGTATTTCTGTTTGGAATCTTTGAAGCTGAAATTTTGCAATGAAGAGTTGCATTGACATTATTATCTGTACATGCCATGCCTGCAAAGGAAATAAGAACACTCCTGAAACAAATTGCTGCTGAATTCAACAAAACATTACTATTTCCAATTTACATCCTTAATAAAATATAAGTTAATTAAAAGATAAAAATTATCTTGATATATCTGTCTAATATTTAGTCTCTGTTTCTCTCACATGTTGTAAATCTTTGACTCCAGATTCAGGAGATTTGTTCTTTAAATTTTAAATATGAGCTTAAGATAGAAATTATTGTCTTATTACAAATTTCAGTGCAATTAATATAAACAATTTATCTTGGTCCACATTAACAATCAACTCAATGATACATGTATAAGAAATTATAAATCACAGAAAGTCACTATATTTGGCACAGCACAGCAATATGTTTTACAGACTAGTGGCATATGTGGAAACATTATGGCCAAGCAAGTGATTTCATGATATGACTGAAATATTTGGGAAGTCCCTATGATTAGGAAACATTCTGTTGAGACTCAATCATCAAATTGCTAATTGTTATCCTTCAAACAAATTTCAGTTTTCCCTCTCTCATAGCTAACATTTAAAAACTGTGGTATGGCTTCCATGAAGATGACGCAGATATGCATCAATAGCCAAGTACAGAGAACGTACAAACACATCTCCCAGTGTTTTCAGTCACAAATGAAACTTAAAAATATAAATAATAAACCCACTGAATCTAGAATCAAGAGTCGACAATGTTTGATTAATAAGGTGACTAAATTTTAAATCTGTCAAGGTTGTTTTTAGTTTTTAATGATCTTACATGTGCAATGTTCTTGAGGGCTTTACAAACCTGTAGCTGTCCAAGTAAGATCTGTCATAAGCTGGCTTTGATTCCCAATCACAAAATGTAACCAATAGTAGACATGATCTCCTTTTTGCAGATACAAATCAGGAATGTCAAACTGCCAGCGCCCATTCAGAGGTCGACCCAAATCACCACTGTACTCTGAAGGGGTGGCTCCATACAATGGGTTGTTGATACTTACATGGAACCCAACAAAGCGAATTACAGGAAGACCTGTAATTTCAACATGTTTGACAATTCTCTGTATTGTACAATAAAATTAAAATTTCCTTTTTCACATTACATGCTCATTATTTAAAAATGAACACAAATTTTAAACATGAGCATAATGTAATGTCATATCATACACAGAACACGCTCCGCACTATGGGCAGTGTATGTGTACCCTTAACTTTAAGTAAGTTTCACTTCTAAATGATGGTGCTTTATTAGCTTAGTTTTATTCTGTAGGAAAAGTCAGTTAAATAGTAATGCTGATGTGTGTGCCTATGCTGCTCCACCACCCCTCAATTAACCTGTGAACTAACAAATTAATTTTCTTCAAATATGGTATAAATGTCATGTTACCAAACAGCCTACACAGCACAACATCCCAGAAAACAATCATATTCATATTTAAAATTTGTTTCATTATTATCCTCACATCTATGCTGATTCTTCAAAGTGGCTCCTTCCCTTCAGAGTTTTCAAACAAAATGTTGCTTCTCTCATGTCCCCTGCACCCACCTCATTTTCCTTATCTCATTGCCCTACAAATATTTGATCCACAGAACAAATTATAGAGTTCCTCAATCTGAAATTTTCTACATCCACCTGCCACTTCATCCCTCTTAGATTCAAATATTCTCCTTAGCACTCTTAATCCATACTCGTCTCTTAACATGTGAGAGAAAATTTCGCACCTATTCAAAACTAGAGGTAAAATCATAATTTTGTGTATTTCAATCTTTGCAGTATTTTATAATTGTCAATATGTAACAAAAGCATAAACAAGCATATATTATACAGGAATTATCAAGTTAGATGCTAACTTCTTTTATAGAATATAAGTAATGTGATGTCCATGCAAAGCTATGTTGCTGTTTTGGTTTGAATGCAATAAATGACAACCCATTCTAGCTAAAATGTGGTATGGAAAGAAAATACAAATGAAGCTAAAAATTTCTTATACCTATTTGTTTGTTAAAACTATTAGCAGTAGTGAAAAACTTTTACATTATATCTGATAACGTTGTGGTTGTTACATTCTGTACCCTACTATCAGAAACTATACAGAGCAGTAGAACACAAAGTTATATAATTTCTGCTGGCTTGTTCAATGCAGGTCATGTATCTGCAGGAAATTAGGCTCCATGAAATTTATTCAGACTGAATTTATACAAACTGAATAAGGAGGCATGCAACATCAAAAGACTTTATTCTGAATTTAAAATTGAAATTTCTGTACTTTACTCTGTTACTTTTATACACAAATGTTAATTAATATAAGCAGTCTAATGATCCAGTGCAGGGGCAAATCCATTTATTACTTTCTTAATAATGTTGTGACAGCTGCAGAAGTTCACAATTCACCCAGCAGGATTAATAAAGATCAAGACAATCTGGTAGCAGAGCTAGGCCCTGATTACAATTCAAATCAGGCCCTTCCTGGATGCATCATATGTTCTTCTTAAGATGCTGTCTCTGAACAGAGGTTGGCTACCATTAAGGCAATTCAAGATTTCTTGCCATAATGATTTTGACTAGGGATAATAATGAGGTAGTTTCCCATGGCTTTCCTCATCGCAGTATCACAGCCGGTTAAATCAAGAAGTATTTACTGCCTGTGAGTATCTGGTGTCGAGCCTTTAGGGAAGTCATTCTTCAATAGTCTCGGCCCTATGTTATCTACTGTAACCCTGGTATATTAATTCACATGGTCACAGCTCTGAAGGGTATCATAAAAACCTCGGACAGGGTAGCAGGTTTCTTATCAACTAGGTACTGCTTGAGTATGAAACAGAGTGCAGTCAACAGTAACCCAGCATTAGTGACAAGAAGAGAACATCCTGGCCAAGTTGTTAGCACTCATACATCATATATGGGAGGTTCTGGAACCAAAACGTTGTCTAAAGATTGGATAGCTCAAGTTTTCCAATGGTTTTCCTCTGTTCCACCAGGCAAACGCCAGGATTAGGCCATGGCCACTTTCTTTATATCCACTCCAATTTATTATTCATTCTATCATGTAATGATTCATAGTATGAGCTACTGAGCGCGTCATTAAATAAACCTTAAGTAAATAAAATGGTGCCAAAATAAGATGTTATGCAAGAGATAATAACCTTATAAAGTGAAGCTTTCGCGGCCACCGAAGTTGATGAAAGACTCTCGGGCAACAAGCCCCGTCAGGTGGCTGAATGAACCATTTCTTCCGCCAACGTTTCAAGAATCATCTCTCCTCTCATCCTCAGGACAGCTGCTAAACTAAACTGGTCTTATGTAGCGCGCTCGCCGATGGGAACCGGCGGTGTACGACATGTAGTACACTGCGTTTCAGCGTTTTTGGCCGCTGAACTTTTGTGAATTAGACCCTTTGAGCGAGTCAGTTACCAGAAGGTTGTTGGAAGGGAGGCATCAAGCTACGTACAGTAGACTCCAAATAAAATATCAGCAGTTTATGTAACACAGGGAAGTCGATTTCACTACACTGCACATCCCTATAAAATTAAAACTGCAGAGAGTATTGGATAATTTTATCTGCTTCCCAACTCTTCGGTCCTTTTCCAATTCTACCACTCCTCACAGACTATCGCTTTCTGACATATCACTCGATTCATCACTACCTCTGCTGCTGTTCACTCCATTATATTCAATTATAATACGTTCAATAGCGTCTTCGATTATGCCTTCTTGTTCATAATAAATTTGCTCTAGTGTTTCCACTTGCTGACATACATTATCCCATTTCTCTTGCCCAATTTCTTCGAATCTCTGGCGACACAGATGCTCGACGTTCTTAATTTTAAATGTTGTGTTCTTGCTTGCAACTCATTGTTTTACATCTGCCCAAATAAGTTCAATGGGGTTTAAATCGGGATGGTAGGGTGGAAATCTTAGCAAAGTACTTTCTTTGTTTTCTAAAATCTGATTATTCACATAATATTTGTTCTTTGACTTATTTAAATTGATTAAATCGTACAGTTGAGCGTTCATCAGGTTGTCACAAAATGGGATGTTTATTTCCAATAGCCAACCTTTCATTTCGTCCTTTTTTAAGACGTCGGTGGTTTGTCTGTCTGAGTGTTGTGATACGAGGCGTTATCAATGACCAGAAAGGAGTTTGCAATGAACAGGTGTCATGTTGTTAACCCAGCACAGTCACAAGACAACGTCAGGCTAACACACTGCTACACTGCCACAGACTGTACTGACCGACGGAAACTCCTTCCTTCCTTCCTTCATAGAGTGGTCCGCATATTGGGCTCTCCCTACAATTTCAGCGGCCATAATCGGTGGATCCAGTTCTAGCAACGTATTGCTGGTGGCCTGCTATCCTGTGACAAAACTGCTGTCTGCCCAGAAGGCCGAGCCAGCGAGAGCGAGTACTTGACCTCGTCTGCCAGTTCCTATTGGTCAGCGCGAAAGAAAGCAACAGACGGGCCACCAGCAACACGATACAACTATACCTGCCGTACACCGCCAGTTCCGATCGACGAGCGCACTATATAGGAACAGTTTCGATTTGCAGCTGCCCTGAGGATGAGGGTAAAGATGGCTCTCAAAACGTTGGCCGAAGAAATGGTTCATTCACCATTCAGCCACCTGACGCGGCTTGTTGCCCGAGAGTCTTTCATCAGATAGGAACCATGTTACGTAGGGAAAAATTGTAACATGAAGATAGCAAACGGGTCCTCTGAAAATGTGGTAAAGTTCATATATTTGGGAGTGACAGTAAGAAATCAAAATTTGATTCATGAGAGGAAATTAAGGGCAGAGTGAATTCGAGTAATGCCATTGAGTTAAAAACCTTGTCTTCTCGTTTACTATCTAAAATATAAAGATTAAAATATACAAGCTATAATATTGCCTCTAGTCTTGTATGGCTTGTGAAACTTGGTCTCTGACATTAAGGTAGCAACACAGACTGAGGGTGTTTGAAAATAGGGTGCTGAGGAGAATATTTGGACCTAGGAGGGATACAATACTAGGCTGAGGAAAGTTGCATAATGAGGAGCTTCATAATTTGTACTCACCAAATTAGACTGATCAAGTAAAAGAGGATGAAATAGGTGGGGCACATAGCCTGTAAACCAGAAGAATAGAGACTACTAGAAAGATTGAGACATGCGGTAGTTTAATATTAAAATGGATCTTAGAGAAATAGGATGGTGTGGTATGGACTGGATTCATCTGGCTCAGTATAGGGACCAGTAGCAAGCTCATGTAAACATGGTAATTAACTTTTGGGTTTCACAAAATGTTGGCTTATCAGGAAAGACTCAGCTCCATGGCGTAAGTAACAAAAGAACCATGTTACATTAGTCATATGATTTGTTATATCCAGCAATGGACATTACATTTTAAAAGTTGTATGTCATACAGAATAAACAGTAAATGTAACTTAGTAGTTGAATGATTTGCAAAACAAACAGTAAAATAATCTTACCAGGAATCCACATCCGAAGGCCTCTTGGACACAGCTGCTGTATAGTTACTGGAGGAAGCTCAAATGTTCCATTTTCATGATATGGTAAAATATGCTCATGGAAAGTATGATCTTCATCATCATATGAATCAGATACACCATCAACATTCTTTGTTACATTATGAATATTAGTTCTGGCCGTCACTTGTGATGCTAGAATGAGGAATAACAAACCATGTGCACAAGTAAGCTGCATCCTAGTCACACTCCCAAACAAGACAAAATGCTGTAGAGCAGTCTTTACATTTATAAATTCTTCTATTCTCACTTCAAGTCACCATGAAAGCCTAAGTCTTTATATCTTTCTGCAAAACACATGGTGCAATAAAAGCCAAAGAAAGCATAGGCTATAAACTGCTCAATTGCCTACATAACACTGTTTTTAAATTTGAAAAATGTATAGTATGTTCACACAAAGGCAACAATCAATTTCATGAATAAAAACTGATTAATGCATGATCATGGATGTCACTGAATGTATTTTTGTTCAATTAATGCAAAGTCATGTAACCATTTTTCAAGATATGCAGGAACTTTCTAGGAACTTTGCTTTGCTATAACATCAAGGTCAAAAATGACTTGAGTGCACTGAAAGTAACTATTATAAAAAGTAGCAGTCAATGTCTGTGAAACACTTAATTCCATTTTCTACACAGTGTTCAAAAAGTCATGCAACCTATATTAAAATACTTATTGATGGTTGAAATTCAGTAAAATTAAATTGGATCAATAAACACAAAATATTGCTATACAACTCACACAGCTCACATCATGTTATAACCTGTTTGTACCAGTCCATCAGTCATCTTCAAACAGTCGAAGTGCAAGGATGTCTTCAAGTGCAACAAGTGTTCATTTTTGCCAGAATGAGTTTAGGAACACATTTCCTGATTCCCCTGTGCCAAGCAAATCAATAATATTTCATCTGATGAATTGTTCCCATGACATAGGAAGCATGTGGGACAGAAACTGTTCCAATGTCTGGATGGTATCCATGAAACTTTGTTACTCTCAACATGAAAGTGATTTTGAAAACTTCCTCTTCAGAGTGTATTATTGTACATAAGGGTACAAAGATTTTAAAACTTCATCAGTATCACATACGTGGCATGCACAAACTCAAGGAACCGGATACAGAAAGACAACTTCGTTACTGCAGATGGTTTACACGTTTCATTGAAGTAGACATTTAGATAAAGTTTGCTATAGTGATGAAGTATAGTTCTACTAACATGGATACATAAAGAGCCAGAACAGATGAAATTATGTATGGACATTATGCCATTGGGGACTAACTACCCTGAAATCAGACTGTGGCTTGATCCCATGACACCATGTGTAAGAGTCCAGTACACTACTACAGAGCTAACAAACTTTGTGATGCATTGATATTGATCAAGTAAATTATACAGTGAAGAAAGCCTGGAAGGCACTTCATTTTACAATGCCTGTTCTCAAAAAGGGGAATAGTAACACTAAAAGCCTAGCCTACACATCCGATACGCGTCCGATTCTGGAATATGGGGCGGCGTGCTGGGATCCTTACAGGAAGGGGCAGGTAAATGCTTTAGAACAGGTGCAAAAGAAAGCATGTAAATTTGCATATCATAGCGATTCGAACTGGGGAACCCTGGCACAGCGTAGAAAGATAGCACGTATATGTGCTCTCTTCAAAGCGTACACGGGAGAACGGGCATGGAAAGCTATAGGTGGCAGATTGCAAAGGCCATATTATCTGAGCAGGGTCGATCACATTCGGAAAATTAGGAGCAGAAAGCAAACAACAGATATCGGAAAATATTCCTTTGTAAATAGGACCATCCAACTCTGGAATCAGCTACCTGCTGATGTTTTAGGGACTCTCTCCTGTAAACCAAGTACTTTTAGGAAGGTTAGAAAAGTGATAAATGAGGTGAAGTGAAGGGAATACATGGGTGGGTGCAGTGAAGGTGGGTAAATTGGGGTGAGGATCAGAAGTCTTCATAAGTGTGGTGAAGTGTAGAGAAGGTCCTGATAAAATGTGAGTGCATCAGTTTATAACTTGTGTTGGGCAAGGCCGTGGTATAGGCAACACAGAATTTTCCTCCGGGGGCTTTCCCGGTTTCTCTGTGGCATCCCAACAATTACTCCATTCACACACAGAAGAAGGCAATGGCAAACCACTTCTGGATCACCTGCCAAGAACGTATATGAACAGGTCCCAGTCCGAGAAAAGGATGGAAGGATCCTGTTCATATGGACCTGTCGTCAGACAGAACACTAAA